CTCCTGGGGATTTCTCGGAGCCTAGAGCGCGAAATGTTTGTTCTGGTCCCCCGTCGCGGCCCGCTCTTGGAGCCGTTTCGGGGCGCTCTTGGAGGCCTCTTGGGTCGTGGTTGGGCGATCTTGGGTTTTTTTTTGGCCGTCTTGCAACGCCTGTAAGCCGAAAAGGCGAGAATGCCAAAATCTTCGGTGTCTCGAAGGCATCTTGGGGCGTCTTGGGGGCATTGTTGACCGTCTTGAGGCAATCTTGGGACGCTTTGGAGCGCTCTTGGCTGGGACTGTGGGGCCTGCCACTGAGTTGACGCCTCCTTGAGGCGCTCCTGGAGCGCTCTGGGGTCTTCCAAGGCCGCGCCCAGGAGGTCCGGCATCTCTGACCCGACTTTGCCGGGACTCTGCCTTGGATCGCCCGGGGTATTTTTCGCCTGGGGACCCCCTGGGGCCGCCCCTCGCGCGCGAACTAGAATACTGTTAACCAGCAACCAGACATCTTAGCACGCCTCTGGCCCGTTGGGCCGGCGAATTGCATCTTGTTGTCATTCATCTGGTTGGGTTTGGGGGGCCGTCTTGTAGCTATCCTGGAGGCTTCTGGGATTGTCTTCGGCTTTCGGAAGCCCGAAGAAATCGGCAACGCGAACATGACGTTCAAAAGCATACGGAAATCAAGATATTAGCGCACTTGGGACCGCCAAGGGCAATTTGCAACTTTGGCATGCCAAGCACCCCTTAGCGAGCAAAAGGGGGTGGCGGATCGAGTGCCCTCAAATCCCGCCACAGAGCTTGGGTTGCGGTTCAAAGTCCTCTTGAATGTTTCTTGGGGTCGATTTGGATGCCTATTGGGCATCTTTCGGGAGCGTCTTAGAGGTCTCGAGAGTCATCCTAGCAGAGGGTTCCACTGGCCAGTTTAAATCCCCAGGTGCCAGAAACCATAGAAGAACTCCATGTGTTCCACATGCACGCCAGTGAAAACCACGCGGCGATCTTTAGAAGCGCCCGGAACCGCTTGGAACTCCAGAGGCGGGGCCTCTCAGGAGCATTTTCAAGATTTCCTGCAACGCGAAGGTTTTACGGCCAGTGCCGCCGACCCTGAAGGGAGACGACGACGACGACGACGACGACGACGACGACGACGACGACGACGACGACGACGACGACGACGGCGGCGGCGGCGGCGGCGGCGGCGGTGGCGGCGGCAACGACGACGACACGGACGTGGGCCAGAGTCCTCAAAAATGGTTCTTGGGGTCTCTTCGGAAGTCTCGGGGGCCTCTCGGGATGAATCTTGGGTGCCTCTTGGGAGCCTCTTGGGTGCCTCTTGGGAGCCTCTTGGGGGCCACTTCGGGCTTCCTGGGGACCTCTTGTGGGCCTCTTGGGGTCTCTGGGGAACCTCTAGGGGCCTCCTGGCCCCACGTCTGGGCACGCTCTTGGAGCCGTCTTTGGGGCATCTGGGGCAGTCTTGGAGGCGTTGTGGGCTGTCTTGGGGTCTTCTTGGGCTGTTTTGGGGCCTTCTTGGAGGCCTCTTGGTGAGATCTAGGGGCCCTCTGGCGCCGTTTTTGAGGGGCGGGAAGGGGAGAAGGCGAGAACACCCAAATCTTAAAATTATCCCAGTGCGACCCTACCTAGGAGTTGGAGCATTTAGGAAAGCAACATCTACATTTACACCGACAGCTACATGTACATCTACACCTGCATCTACATCTACATCAACATCACCAGCGAGACTCACATCTACATCTACATATACACCTACGCTCGGCTGCGCTGTGTTGTGCTAGGCTATGATATGTTATGATATGATGCGCTATGCTATGCTGTGCTGCGCTATGCTGTGCTATGCTAGGTTATGATAGTATATGCGATGCTGCGCCATGCTATGTTATGCTAGGCTATGCTATGATATGCCATGCTGCGCGATGTTATGCTATGCTATGCTATGCTGCGCTATGCTATGCTATGATATGATGTTATATGATATGCTATGATATAATGAGTTATACTATGCTATGTCTGCTATGATTGGCTTGGCTATGCCATGCTATGATATGATGTGCCAATCCTGCGCTGCGCTTTGCTGCGCTGCGCTAAGCTAAGGTAGGTCCAGCTATGCTAAGCTAGGCTAAGCTAAGTTAGGCGAGGCTGAAACAAGCTAAGCTAAGCTAAGCCAAGCCAATATAAGCAAAGCTAAGCTACGCTAAACCAAGCTAATCGAAGCTAAGCTAAGCTAAGATGATATAAGCTAAGCTAGGCTAGGCTAGACTAGGCAAAGCTAAGCAAAGCTAAGCTAAGGTAAGCTAAGATAAGCTAGGCTAAGCTAAACTGAGCTAGGCTAGGCTAAGCTAAGGTAAGCTAAGCTGAGCTGGGTGAACCCAGGGGGTGCAACTGGGGGAACCGCGGGGCGGGGACCGGGGGAACCGCCCGGGGCGTGTAGCACTGCCCGGCCCCTTTCAGCTAAGAGAGTAAGAACCCTCTAGGCAGAGCCTAGGTAGGGAACAACCAGCGAAAAATCAATGGCCTCTTGGGGTCCTCTCGGGAGTGCTGATGGAGGCGTCTTGGGGCGTCCTGGAGGCCTCCTGGGCAGTCTGGAGGGCGTGAAGGCGTTTTGGAACGATCGTTTGGCGATTGGGGACCCCCCTTGGACCGTCTCGGCAGCCTCTTGAGACACTCTTGGCCTGTCTTGGTACTTTCTGAGGCCCCACGGCCCCCAGGGAGGGAACATATATATATATATATATATATATATATATATGGGTGGCGACCCCCCCCCCTCCCAGGACTCGCCCAAGACCCCCCCAGAACCACCCCAGGACCCAGAATCCCCCCAGGCCCCCCCCCCGCGCGGGGAAGGGATCAAAGGGAAGGAGCTTCCCTTCGACTCTATTACGACATTGCTAGTGTGTTCTCTCGCTGACAAATTTGAGGAGGAGGATGCAGGGAAAGGGGACAACAGAGACGACGACTGACGGAGACGACGACTCGAACAGCCAAGCAACTCACACACGCCGACAGGGTCGGCGGATTTTAATTTGTAGCGTGTTGTAGTCTAGCATGGTGTGGTCAATTGTTTCTGAGGTTGTGCACGGTACCGTGCGAGATAATATGCATTGAGTGGCATTGCCTGGTTGGAGATGACATGACGGAGTAACTTTTCAGTTCAGAGAATGACGTTGCGCCATTCGGCGAATCTGCATGCGTGAGGCGCGCGCGCGCAAGGTGGCGCTGGAAGGAAGTCGGCCCGACACGATGCAGAGTCTCCCTGTTCCTCTCGGGGGTTCGTAGAGGGGGAGGGTATCCCACGGTTGGGTATGGAAACGAATCCAATTAGATGCTCACATGGTATTATTCCAGGGGCTATTTGGGATGATCTTCTTCGAGGGAACGCGTTTCACGGGCGCTTGCCTTGGGAACGTTCGGCGGCGCGTTTCGGACCGGGTGGTGGGCCTCCCGCCCAAACACTCAGCGCCATCGATCAAAACCAGGGGGACTCCCCTCCCCCCCAACCCCCCCCTCCCGAACCCCCCCCCTCCCGTTCCCCCTCTCCCAAAGGGAGGGGGTTTCAAAACCCCCCACCCCACCCGCCCCTCCCCCTCGGCGCCGGTGCCGGCGCTGGCGGCCGCCAGCAGGGCCGACGGCGGGGATGCAGCGACGATGACCAAAGGCAACCCAAGGGGGGGGGTTCAAACGCCCCCCCCCCCCCGGGCGCGAGGGGGGGGTTCGAACCCCGCTCCCCCTTGGCGCTGGCGCCGGCGCTGGCGCCGGCCAGCAGCGCCGGCGCTGGCGCCAGCGACGGCGGAAACGAAGCGACGATTGCCACCACGACCACCACCGCCACAACTACCACCACCACCGCCTCAACCCACCACCACCACCACCACCAACAACAACCCACCACGCAACCACCACAACCACCACCACCACCACAGCCACCACCACCACCACAACCACCACAACAGTTCACCACCACCACCACCAATACAAAAACCCACCACCACTACCACCACCACCACCACAATCTACCACACCACCACCACCACCACCGCCACAACCACCACTACTAGCAGCACAGCCCACCGCCACCACCACAAACCACCACACCACCACAAACCACCACACCACCACCGCCACCACCACCACCACCAGCACCACGTCCACAAACCACCGCCACCACCACAACCCACCACCACCTTCACCACAAACCACCACCACACCACCACCACACCACCGCAACCACCACCACCACAAGTCACCATCACCACCACCACCACAACCCACCACAAACCACCACCACACCACCACCAAACCACCACCACCACCACCCACCACCACCACCACCCACCACCACCCACCACAACAAACCATCACACCACCACCACCACCACAACCACCACCACCACCACCACCACCACCACCACAACCCACCACCACCACCACCGTCGTACTCGTCGACGCTCCCCGGCGCCGGCACCCGCCGCCGCAGGCGCCCGCCGCCGCAGGCGCTGGCGCCGGCCCAGAAATGCTTTTCTGGGCCGCCGCCAGCCCGCCGCCGCCAGCCGCCGCCGACTCAAGCGCCGGCCCGAGGAGAGGAGGGGAAGCAGGGGAGTAAGGGAGGGGGGGGGAGGGGGTGGGGGGGTTCGAACCCTCCCCCTCCGTCAAAGGGTGGGGGTTCGAACCCCCCCCCGCCCTCCATCCAGGGGGGGGTTCGGGTTTCACCCCCCCCCTCCAAACGACCACAGAGCGCGCTCTTTCTCTTCTTCGAACCCCACCCCTGCCCTGCCCCGCCTTCACGTGCCCCCGATCCTGTCCCTCCCTGCTCCTCGACCCCCTCCTCGTGCCTGCCATGCCCCGGGTTAGGCGCTTTGGTCGTCCGTATAGGTATTCTGGAGCCCCCAGCGTGCGTTCGGACTTCTCGGCCATTTGCTCGGTCTCCTTCGCCCCTAGGACACCCCCTCTTCTATTCGCGGACCACGGCACACAGCCAACCTCTGAACCTTGAACGCGCATCTCCCCAGGCCAGCAAGGAGGAGTGAAAAGGCGACATGCTGCTCGGCTGCATCAGCGTGGAGGCCAGGGCGGAAGCATTAAGGCATCGCGGTCCACCCCCCGCCTCCTCCGGCCGGAGCTCGCATCGCGAATTAATTTCGGCGGAAGTTTTTTGGTGGCAATTTTCGGCTGGATTTCTCGACCCTCCACTTGTGACCAGCGACTCGTCCTGCAGTCTTGTTTTGACAGTCCCAGTGCCTGAAGATGCGTGTGTGAAGATGACCCAGAGGCTTGCGGAGCGCCTTTGGCGCGATTTCGTCGATCCGCGAGGGCATCTCGTTCGCTTCGGCGCGCGGCAGGCGTTCCCTGTTGCACGGCCCCCGGGCTTCCTTCGCGCACTGCCTCTGAACCAAGCCAGGCCACGACGAAAGGGCTCCAGGGGAGGGCGGGTGTGGCACAGGGGGGCGGGCAGAGAAGGGAAGCCAGGTGGGGGAGGAGGAGGGGGAGGAGGGGGAGGGCGAGAGGGCCCTAGCCATGGAAGGGTCAGGGTTGTGTGTGATGACGTTGGGGATCGGTGGGGGGGGGGAAAACCTTGCTGACGCCTGCAGATATAATACTCTATGCCATGTTGGAACTATCTACTTGTCTATGCCTCTTCGCACCTCCTGCTCCGCTTAGTCTGCACTCAAGTGCCCTACTGGTTGACATGTATCGACGCAACGATTTCGCTCTTCATGTTTGGTCAACGTCAACAAGGGCGAGGATGGGAGGAAAGGGGGGAGGTCGACGGGGAAGTCTCCCAGGGACGTACCCAAACCACCCGAGGTGTCTGGCAGCACCGTGTGGTTGAGCGGCCTAGGACACCACTTCGTTGGACCTCCCAGGGGCTCACGAAAGTGGCGACAGTTGTGCGGGTGTCATTTGCGATGGGTGCGAGGTTCCAATTGGATCTACGTAGGACCGCCCTCCGCTGGACCCCCAACATGCTCACGAAAGTGGTGACAGATGCGCAGTTGGCAGCACCCAGAGAGGTCGAGGTCCCACTTGGGTCACCGTAAAATGTCACCCTGCTGGGCCTCCCATGAGCTCACGAAAGTGACAACCGTTGCGCAGTTGCCAGCACCCAGGCCGGGCGAGGTCCCACTTGGGTCACCGTACGACGTCACCCCGCTGGGCCTCCAAGGAGCTCACGAAAGTGGCGGAATCTGCGCAACTGTCAGCGTCCAGGCATGTCGAGGTCTAGTTTGGACGCCCTTTGGACTGCACTCCGCTGTACCCCCAAAAGGCTCACGATGGCGACATTTGCGCATTTGATAGCACCCAGTCAGGGCCAGGTTTCGATTGGGTCCCTGCGGGGGTTCGCTTCGCTGGGCCTCCCATACGCTCACGAAAGTGGCGACAGATGCGCAGCTTGCAACACCCAGACAGGGCGAGGTTTTACCTGTGCCAACTTAAGATGATACTCCGACGGGCCTTCTGGGAGCTCACGAAAGTGGCGGACTTTGCGCAGTTGGCAGCACCCAGGCGGGGCGAGGTCCCACTTGGGTCACGGGAAAACGGCACCCCGCTCACGAAAATGGTAACAGTTGCGCAGTTGTCAGAATCCAGACAGGTACCCGTATGATCGCATTTGGTTGAATCTCCGAATAGCTTACGAAAGTGGGACAGTTGCGCAGTTGGCAGCATGCAGGGTGGGGCGAGGTCTCCTGTGGATGCCCGTAGCGTAGGACCGCAGTTCGTTGACCTCCCAGAAGCTTGCGAAAGTGGCGACAGGTCCGCACTTGGCGGCACCCACGGAGGGCGAGATCTAGTTTGGACGCCTTTAGGACTGCACTCCGTTGGAGTCGGCGCAGCACCCAGGGAGAGTGAGGTCTAGTTTGGATGCCCGTAGGACCGCACTCTCTTGTGTTTCCCAGGAGCTCAGTGCACAGCAGCTGGGACTACACAGCGGTGCAAAAGAGGTAGGAGGTAGACAGGAGGTTGAAGATAGGATGAGAGGAGTGAGGCGGCAGGATATTCAATACGAGTGCCCAACATACGAGAGTGGGAAATGAAAGTTTAGTGGGATCGTCTTAGGCAGGGTGTCCAGGGGTGCGAGAGTTTTGACATCCGCCATTCTCACCCTCAGCCAACTTGATCACCCTCAAGGCTGACCTCTCTCCACTCATCCGCAGTCCCCCCTTGCACCTCTCCCTCCCTTTTTCTCCCATCGCCCCTCCCTCTCTCCATCCCCTCCCGCAAGTTAATATCCTCCCTATTCGCCCGTTCTCGATTCGGTTCTCGTCCTCCCCCCTCCATTCCTTGTGTTCTCTCATTTCTCTCCCTATGTGATTAATGGGTTTCGCCTTGATCCCACCGCTTCCCTGCATGTCCAGATAGTTGTCGATTGGACTGATTGGTTGGCTGGCCGGCGTCATCAGTTGAATGTTTGCAGTTGACGCGCATCGCATCACAGTCATGACAGTATGTCAGCCAGCAAGGGGGACTTACGCCCGTGCACGTTCGAAGGTTGCCATAACAAGATATCTTCGAGTGTGAGCACGCACGGCGCGCCATATGAATGTGCATTTGAGGTACGACTCCCACTCAGCCCTTGGTTCAGGCCAACAAGTGCTCTTGGCAGAATACTTGCGTGATGAGCTGAGGTCCTCTACAGCCCCCGTGGAGAACTGTAATAGATGAGTCGGTGACGCCTTCGAGTATATCTCGAGCGTGGATGATATAGACGAGGTTTGGGACGCAGTAGACATAACAGATGCAGTGTTGCCATGACATTCGTGACACAAGCGTTTAATGTTGTATCTGCCCCCTCTTTAGTGCACACTCTTGAAACATGATCTATTCTGAATGTATTCCGCAGGCTACGTCGAGGCGTTCTTGGAGCGGTGATGAGACTCGCACTTCCGCGGCTGTCGTACCCGCCATTTTGGGGCAAGGACCCGAGCACTCCTCACCCTCGTCGCCACAACGGGTACTCGCATCTTCTTGAACAGAGGGCAAGGGCACGTTATACCGTATGCTTATCTGAAGGGTTGCGCCCTCTGCCGCCGGCCCCCTCGCCGGAGCCATCGTGTGGCTAGATTGGGGCCATCACGGGGCCTCTCGGGGTTATCTGAGGGCCTCTCGCGGCCATCTTGGGCAATCTCGGGCCTATCTTGAGGCATATGGGGGCCCCATATGCCTCAAGATAGGGCCTCTCGGGGCCCCATAATGGAGCCCATGCGGAGGGCGTCAGTGATCCATATTGGGGCCTTGTTCGGGATCCTATCAATTCCCGATTCCAACCCAGCCTGAGATCCCGCCGCCTGTCCGATATTCTGGCATCCGACCCGATGTCCAATCAATCTTCTTCCCACTTCAGGTTCCGATTCCGTCGCCACTCTTGGCCTGAATACCTTGCCAGCGACGATCTGGACCACAGTGGCGAATCACGATACTGGTGTTGAGTCGCACGTATACGACGGAGTGCACTAGGACGGTATTGATGGGTATTTTGATCGCAGCGGCTCTCAGAACGACGGTTGTGTACAATCATTAAGGCTTCCCACTCGAATACGATGACCAATTCTGATTTCTACTTTTCAAGGAGGAATTACGCGCACCTCCACCGACCAACTTGGGCGCAGTTCATAAATTGTCATAGTACCCAGATATGTCAGCGATATCTAGTTGCCACGTACTATGCTGGAAATCGCAACAGCACAGGTTGAAAGCTGCAATCAGAATTGCAGATAAGTTTAGCAACAATCCCCATGCGTCGATGGTGTGGGAGTTGTTGTACAATGCCTGCCGGGCCAGATTGGCCTAACAGTTACTTCACATAATTGCGCTTCATGACCTAATGACCCCCACTCGAGGACGTATCGAGTGGGGGCCCTTTCCGCCAGTGGCACTAGTAGGCCAAAGTAGCCCTACAAGTACGCCGCCCGCCAGGCCCCCGGCGCCGTACTAGTAGACCAAAGTTGCCTTACTAGTAGCCCCGTCGAGGCGGATTTCCGAGGATGTCTCGAGCGGGGGCCATCCCCGCCTGTCGTACTAGGGTCCTCCTGCTCCTTCCGCTTCTTCCACACCAATTTCTGCTGCTGCTGTCGTGTCTTTCTTCATCTTTGTCGCCCCCCTCATTTCAGCTCCTCCGCCTTCCCCTGGTCCTCCTGTTCCTCCCGCCCCTTCCACTCCAATTCCTGCATCCTTTTCCTCTCGCTCATCCTGCTGCTCACCCGCCTCCTCTTCCTCCTGTGCATGCAGCTCCCCCTTTTCCGATTGTGCACGCAAGGAAATGGTTTTTCTGTGGGAGTCGCAGGTCGGCTATGACACGCGTCCGCGGACCATGAAAAATCAGCGCCATGGGAAGGGATGGGAGGGAGGTATAGGATGTCAGACCGAGCGTACCCAGCTCGTCTCCCTCTCCTCTCACCCCCCTGAGGTCCGACGTCGCGAAAAAACTGCAACATCGAAACAAATCAGGCCCAGACTCAATTTTTCTGCGTCATTCCTCGAGCCGGATTGATCTGCGAGGGCCCCAGGGCCCGAAAAAAGTCGAAAACACCCGGCTCGAAAACATTCACACGGTCCCATCGGCCTCGCTGGCTAGGCCAAAGTAGCTCTACTAGTACGCCCCCCCCGCCAGGCCCAAGGAACAGTACTAGTACTCCGAAGTAGCCCCACTGGTGGGCCCGCCAGGGCGAACTATCGAGGATGTCTCGAACAGGAGCTCTCTCCGCACGAAGACGACTGTGCGGAGTCCCAAGGCCCGCATGCGGCCCCGGATGCCGAAATGGAAGGAAAACCGCCAGGGTTTAAAGAAAAGCATCGTCGGATGTCTGGGACCCCCCTCGTCGAACATACGGCAACGTTCTGCCTAGGTCCGACGTCGGTTCTGGTTCCTGACACCGCCTGGGCTGTTCAACCTTGGGCTATCTCCGCTCCTGGGGGTCCTGGAGGCTGTCAACACCATCTGTCGCATGGATGTCGCGCCATTGCTGCTCTCTGCGTGTCCCTGATGATCGCTGCATCCCTCTGCAGCTCCTTGTGCTCTCTGCTGCTCTCT